ATCGATTTTATCCATATTCTGAAATTTTTTGAAAACATTCCCAACTCCCAAAACCAGTTCTAGATCCGTTTTTGGTTTATAATTTTATCGTTGGATTTTTTAACAATTTCAAAAATTACCCATTTTTTTTATCTTATAATAAGCCCACCGTCTATTATGACCCAACTAATCCACCAGCTAGTTACTATTATTTTTTTGGGAGTGATGAATTTTATAATATTATTGCAGAATATGGCGCGACTTAGGATTACTGAGGACATGGCCCTTGACAGGGAATTGTGGAGGTCGAGCATTAAAGTTGTAGGTTAGGGGGAAGTTGAGGATATTTCTACAGCGCACTAGAGTGAGACTAGCCAGTTAGGAGTTAATCTTAGGATGCTACTGATCAGCTACTGATGCAGGGCTTTATCTGTTGGATATTAATATACCTCCCATCTTTTTCGTATTTCCTATATTTCTTATATTGATGTTATTTTGTTATTTTATGATATGGTATGTATTTTATGTTATTTTGTGTTATTTTAGTATGAGTCTATTGATAGTACTAATATATCGTCTCTTGTTGCTTTCTTGAGCCGAGGGTCTCCTTGAAACAGCCTCCCTGTCCCTCGGGGTAGGGGTAAGGTCTGCGTACATATTACCCTCCCCAGACCCTACTTGTGGGATTATACTGGGTTGTTGCTGTTGTTGTTGTTGTATTGCAGTTTGACGAATTGTAGTGGTTAGTAATTGTGTTATAGCAGTTGATATTAAAATATTAGGTTTTGATTTTAGGTAAGTGTATTATGTAGTTCATTATAAAAATGATAATTTTGTGCCAAACTTATCTATGTTTAGGACTATGGCCTGGTTTGGGGTAAATTTTGAAAATAGCCAGATTTACAACTGGTCGTTCAAAAATAGCCCAATTTCAAAAGTAATCGAAATTTAGCCACTTTTTATATAAAGATAAATCTGAGCGAAAATACTGTTCAAAACCCGGAAAATACTCCAGTATATTATGCTGGAGTTCCAGCATAAGTATACTTGAACTCCAGCATATTATGCTGGAGTTCTAGCATAAGTACACTAGTACTCCAGCATAATATACTGGAGTTCCAGCAGGTATATTGGTCCAGTATAATATACTGGAGTTTGGAGCACCGGTGCTCCAGTCTCCAGTATATTATACTGGAGCCAGCAAAGTATACCGGTCCAGCATAATATGCTGGAGTTCATACACAAGTGCACCGAACTCCAGTATATTATGCTGGACCGGTCTCTATTGCAGCAAAATAGTGGCTATTTTTCATTGACTTGGTAAACGCTGGCTATTTTTGATTGACCAGTCCGAAAACTGGCTATACCGTGCTATTTTTAACCTGGTTTGCGGTAATGATAATGAATGTCATTGATGCATATACAGGATTAGCAAGTTTGTTTGTTGAATATTGTCAAGTATTTTTTATAGTTTTTAGAACTTATGGGTATAAGTCACGTACTCACGTTTCATGTTTTCTCAACCAAAAAAAAGTGAAATATATTTTGAAAGATTGTTTAACGCAAATTTGAAAATTTATGACCAAACGCTAGCTAGAATGCCATCAAATCAAGGAATTTATAGTAATTCTGGAATTGTTCCACTTATAAATCTTAGCCGTCCTTTAAATAACAAAAGAAATTATTAAAAAAAGATTGTCAAAATGATGTAACTTTTTCAGACTATGATATAAATTTGCAAGAAGAATTTGGTAGTTGAAAAAGGGCATTCTTCAATGAGATCAAATCTTGTAACATAAACAAAAAATTACTTAGTTTAACACAATAATGCTGCAAAACTTTATTTCAATAAAAATTAAGAATAAGAGGGAAATAGTGTAGCGAGAAATACCCCGCACAAATGTACAAGAACACACACTAGGCTGATGTGTTAACACATGTATACCCGAAATTTAAATGATTCATGTATTTTTTCTTTTTTCTTTTTGCCCAACAATTGTATAGTATTATCATATAGCAAACTATAAACAAATTCTAGACAGAATATAGCAGGATATAATATGCATGTATAAGTGTAGCAAGATTATTTCATACTCATCAATTCCCATGCCCATGTTACACACATGCTAGAGATGGCCTATGTTAGAAAATGTGATCGGTAAAATCCGATCTGAATAAAATCAATGTTTACACTAAATTAATGAATATAAATAAAGTATTCGTGCATAAATTTACCACTTAACTCAGTTAATCGTGGTTGAATAATATATATTTGATATTAATAATTAGCTGTTAACATTAAATTATTTGGTTAAATATAAACTTTAGGTACGAATAAATATTTATAAAGGTTCCCATCTGTACATGAAATTATTTTCTTGCTTCTTTATAGTAAAAATAGCACCGGCTAGCTAGTTTTTGGACTGATCATTCAAAAATAGTCAGTGTTTGCAAAGTCATGAAAAAATAGTCACTATTTTGCTACAATACGGAAAGTTCCAGCATAATATACTGGAGATCGATGCACATGTGTATGAACTTCCAGCATATTATGTTGGATCTCTAACACGTGAAAAGTTCCAGCATTATATACTGGAGATTGGAGCACCTGTGTATGAACTTCCAGCATCTTATGCTGGACTGGTATATTATACTGGAACTCCAGTATATTATGTTGGAAGTCCAGTATATTATATACTGGAGTATTTTCCGGATTTTGAACAGTGTTTTCGTTCAGATTTATCTTTACATGAAAAGTGGCTAAACTTCGATTACTTTTAAAACTGTGGCTGATTTTGAATGACCACTTGTAAATCAGGCTATTTTTAAATTTCTCCCTTCTTTATACGACGTTGCAATTTCAATTGGAGATACCAATTGATATTATACGTTATATTTAATCGTTCATTTCAGTAATAAAAACACAATCTGACTAATATTCAGATCAAGATCGAATCACTTACTGTTTGTTTTGTGAAAACCCCTTAATTAAGGATGGACAATCTTATTTTTTAAATTTTATTTTATCATATATTTAGATGTAAGGAAAGAGAATTACAAGATAGAAAATCGAATCCTGATCAATAAGGTCAAAGTTTAGATAGTGAACCAACTACACTACTAAAATCCTGATGGACAATCTATTCTAGTAGTATGTAGGAGAGAAATGGCATCGACTTGAGTCTAAGAGAGTGTTTGGATTGGCTTTTAAGTCGGACAAATCAGCTTTTACGCTCTCTTTTTTAAATCCTTTTACAGTGTTTGCTAAAGTCAAAATAAATAAATTAAAAACTGGTTAAAAGAAGCCAAAAACAAGTAGTTGGGTATGGGCAACCCTAACTTACCAAACGGGCTCTAAGTTATAATAAGTAAACGAAGTTGGAATTATTCTTGAGGAAGCACATGTTAGGGCGGTAGGATGGTGGGGTTCTTTACTGAATTTTTTTTTAACTTTTCATGCATGCTCGATCCACAATCTCTGTTTCTCCTATTTTTTTAAAGACTAAAGTGTTAACAACTTTGTTGTTCTTTTCTAACTTTTACTATTCTTCTCTATGTTGTATACATTTTCCTTTTACTTAAACAAACCATAAGCTCCCTTCACCTTCCTTTTTTTGCCCCTACTTTTCTAGATTTTTCAATCCAATACCCCTTTTTCCTCATGCATCGCACCAAATATCAAATGTGATGAGATGGATGCGATCGCTTAACTCTTAAAGAAATATCTCGGGTTCGAATTTTGAAAAACGAGAAAATTTTAGTAGAGAGAGTGCTAACTATGTGCAGCGTAAATTCAAATTAGTCGGACCAATAGATTTCAGACAGTGAATGCATAAAGCTATAAAAAAAAAAAAAAAAAGGAAAAGAAACTTTTCCAGTTGACGAACCACCCATTCGTACAGTTCCGTAATTGGAAAGTTGCCTACTTCTTATGCAAGAACAACTTAATAAAACCAAAAACTGGTAAGATTGCTAAATAATGCAGTAATACAATGTGATCCGACCAAAAAGAATGAAGCCAAATGCATGAAAACTTGTTAATTTTTATTTAATATGGAATTCATGACTTTCATTGATTAAGCAAAAGTTGTGCTCATTTACTGTTTACGGGTCAATTTGTCTTTACATTAATTTAATAATTATACCTATTTAAGATAAACATTAATCTTTATATCAATACTTGTGCCTAGTTAAATAAGACATGCGATGTTCTCGCGGAACAACTTGCTAAGGGTTACAATTCAAATTGTCCTTATAATTTAAGAGTACAATCTAGTAATCTTTTATGGCTGCAGCTTTCAATTGGATTTCTCTGTCCCTTTGTTAATTATAGTAGTAAAAAAAAAAAAAAAGATATTTACAACATAAATATCATCACTTTTATTAGTGATTGTTATCAAGGGAACGTTATAACAATTTATTGCAAGTGTTATCGTTTGCATATTTAGTGTTACTCTATATATCTCCATGATTTGACTAATCCTTGACAATTGTTTTGGTGGTTTCCATAACATGATTAATCCTTGAAAATAGATTGCTTAAATTATAATCGTCCATAACCCATCCATGTTACTATTTTTTTAGCCAGTTAATTAAACAGACCCTAGCTCCAAGAAAGACATGGAAATACTAATTATGATATATCATTATCAAATGCATAGGACAGAGTAGTCATGCACTAAACGTGTATTCTTGTGCATGTTGATTTTATTTTGAGTGATTATCCATTGTTGATAAGGTACAATTTTTCTTTAAAACGTGTCTAATATTTGTGAGACACACCTGTTCATGAGTAAATAAAAAATGTGTTCAATCTTTATGGAAGACACATGGTATGATATATTATTTTTTTCATTCTCAATATAGAAACCAACCAGAAAATGATGTATTGAGTATCTATAACTTCGTCTGTGGGCTCTTTATTTTTTGATCTGTGGGGGCATATTATGTTGCTATATTAGTTGAATTAAAAGAAAGTAAAAATATGAGAGATATCAAAGGGGCGAAAAACTCCCACCACAAGTAAAAATACTTGAAAGAAACATGAATTTCTCTATAAAATCTCATATGTTATTCCTCTACTGACAACAGGAAGAATGGTTTTGAGTATTTAATACAAGGAGCAAATTGCTCTTTGACAAAACCGCGCTCACTTGAATGGGATAATTGTATCGCTTTTCATAGGACACGTTAAAATGAAGGGCAAAAGTGTGTTTTATGGACGTTTTGCTTGATGGCGAATGCCGGCTTGAAAACCTTCAGAATACGCAGTGTTCTTGAACATCGTCTGCACAAACAAAGCTATGGTGAAAAGAAAATACCATACTCAACCTACTTAGAGGAACTTAACTTTCTCTTTTTACTTCTCCCAGAAAATAGTGGCGAGCTGGAACCTTTTTTTTCTTCAAAAAACCAGCCAACAATTATTCTGATAGTTTTGGCTTCAGAAAGTAAAGCTCAAAATCCCAGTTTGGAAACTGTCCAAAAACTAAAACCATACTGACTACTTCCATTAATATTATGATTTTTGTTTGACTAATATATCTGTCAGAAGTGAAATAAATTCTGTCTAAGTTGGGATAGACTTGCCTACCATTTCATGTGAGATATATTTGCTTTGTTGATGCTCAAGTATAAAGATTTTTGACAACTGCATGAATGTAAAATCATACAAGAAGATTTCATCAAAGTGATTCAGGAAGAGGAAATAGGTACTCACAGCCATGCTCTTGAACTCTGTTGCAAGCTTATTCCTAATTTTATTTGATATGGCTTCACCAAGTTTCTCGCCGTGTTGCTTTACATTCTCCTCTGTTATCTGGATTTTTTTTAAATGAGATAAGTTTTAACTGGATGTTACATTTCCCATATCATCACAATAAATATGTACTTATGAGATAAAAGTGCATCATTTCCTTACCTCTGAAAGAACTAGAGATGATGTCTTCTCTAGAAAGTCTTCAACAAATTTTTCAGGATCAGCAAAGGAGTTCGGTGAGCTAACTCCATTTGATAGTTTCTCCTTCCACATATCAGTTGATGGCTTAACAGCTTTAGCTATTTGAGCAAAAGGAATTATTGAGGTCAGTTTCCTTCATGTCTTCACAACCATATCAAATTCCAAAAAGAAATCCAAAAAGATAAGTTGAAGGTATAATAAAAATAATTGTATGGATTGGCACCAATTCATGGTTGAAGTTATACTAAGCCCCACTTCAAATGATCCTTTAGTTTCTCAGAAATTTTTCGGTATACAACCGAAGACACTATCAAGAACCGACCACTGTCATGTAAAAAAGGAAAGAAATTGAACTCCTATGGAAGGAGACTGTTAAATGGATACCTGAATGCTCTTATCAGCTGGGAAAGTAGAATTAAGGGCCACATTTTGAAATTAACCTTGAACTGAAAAGCTCCTGAATGCTCTTATCAGCTGGGAAAGTAGAATTAAGGGCCACATTTTGAAATTAACCTTGAACTGAAAAGCTCCAAATTTCAAATCTGACATCCACTAACAGCTGAGAATACCAGCCTAATGTTACTAATCGTTCTCCAATAAATTAGGCTGTAGATTCAGTAAATTATTCTGAAAAATTAGGGATCGGATTTTTTGTCTGATCTTATTATAATCGGAAAAGGTCCATTTATGCCAGTAAACTATACGAAATTGTACACATTTGCCCGTCGTTAAAAGGTGGACTCAATCCATATATGCCTTTTTTTTCAACAGACCTCACTAGTAAAATATTTAGCACCAGATTTTGACACGCGTCACAATCTGGTACATTCCATCTATGCCCTGATTTAAATAATAAACCAACCCGGCCCATCACCCTTACTTTATTACACTGACGTGACCTGGTATTCTATTTTAATAAACCCCAATCTTATTTTATTATCCCACTCTCTCACCTCACTTACTTCTCCCAATTTCTTCTCTCACCATTTTCTTTAGTGCAGACTGCCAGAATTTTTTGATTTTATAGGGTTTAAGCCAAAACCCTAAAACAAGCTGAGATGGAGTCTTCTTCTCCGACTGCAGGGGAAAGGAAGCAACCGGAGGAGGAGAACTCCGATATGGACTCAGAAGCTAAATTCATCCTCCTCAAAGAGGGTCACTTTAGCACGAACCTGCTTCTACGAGGTAGCAGTTCCAACTAACTAGACTTCAACCAACGACGAAACAATCCATGGAACCCTCTCAAACCCTTCGTATAACGGCGAAATGGCAAAAACCTACCCCTTCAAGCTCGACCCATTTCAGGTAGTATCTGTTGCGTGCTTGGAACGTAAAGAATCAGTTCTTGTATCGGCACATACCTCCCCTGGAAAAACAGCAGTCGCTGAATACGTAATCGCAATGGCATTTAGGGATAAGCAAAGGGTTATTTACACTTCACCTTTAAAAGCATTGAGCAATCAGAAGTACAGGGAATTAAGCCACGAGTTTTCTGATGTTGGGAAAAAAACCGTAATGGAGCAGCTATGGTGAGAGGAGAAATTGGGGGAAGAAAGCGAGGTGAGAAAGTGGGGTAATAAAATAAGATTGGGGTTTATTAAAATAGAATACCGGGTCGGGTCGGTTTAATAAAATAAGGATGATGGGGTTGGTTTATTATTTAAATCAGGGTATAGATGGAATGCACCAGATTGTGACACGTGTCAAAATCTGGTGTTAAATATTTTATTAGCGAGGTTTGTTAAAAAAAAAAAGGCATATGTGACCCACCTTATACACGGCAAGGGCAGGATTGAGTCCACCTTTTAACGACGGGCAAATGTGTACAATTTCGTATAGTTTACTGGTATAAATGGACCTTTTCCGTATTATAATTTGTTCCCACCTCCCAAGAAAAAATTTAATGGAGAAATCCCCAGTGACGTACGATTCCAAACTCCGTGGATACAAGTCATTTTGAAAGAAATTAAGTTTTCTTTCTTTAAAGCTTAATAAAAAGTTTTTGGTAATTAAAGGAATTATTTCTTATACGATGTTTTAATAATGAAGTTGAGGGGGCTATGCGTAAGATGAGCAGGGGCAAAGCGACCGGGCCGGATGAAATCCCGGTGGAGTTTTGGAAGAGTGCGGGCAAGGCAGGCTTGGAGTGGCTCACTAGGTTATTTAATGTCATTTTTAGAACGAAGAAGATGTTCGAAGAGTGGAGGTGGAGCACGATGGTTCCTGTATACAAGAACAAGGGTGATATCTAAAATAGCAATAACTATCGAGGTATCAAGCTGCTTAGCCATACTATGAAAGTCTGGGAGCGAGTGGTAGAGCTAAGGGTGAGGAGCAGGGTGTCTATTTCCGAGAACCAGTTTGGGTTTATGCCCGGGTGTTCGACTACAGAAACCATCCCCCTTGTTAAGAGATTGATGGAGCAGTATAGGGAGAGGAAGGACTTGCATATGGTGTTCATCGACTTAGAAAGGGCGTACGATAAAGTTCCGAGGGAGGTTTTGTGGAGATGTTTGGAGGCTAGAGGTGTACTTGTTGCCTATGTTAGGTTGATTAAGGACATGTATGATGGAGTAAAGACCCGACTGAGGACGGTGGGTGGGGACTCAGACCATTTTCCGGTTATGATGGGGCTGCATCAGGGGTCGACACTCAGCCCTTTTTTGTTTGCTCTGGTGATGGACGTGCTGACGCGCCACATCCAAGGGGAGGTGCCGTGGTGCATGCTATTTGCAGATGATATTGTATTAATTGACGAGACGTGAGACGGTGTGAACGCATAATTAGAGGTATGGAGGCAGACCCTGGAATCTAAAGGTTTCAAGTTGAGCAGGACCAAGACAGAATACTTGGGGTGTAAGTTCAGTGGCGAGACTCAAGGGGCGGAAGGGGAGGTGAGGCTGGACTCGCAGGTCATCCCTAGGAGAGGGAGTTTTAAGTACCTTGGGTCTATTATTCAGGGGATGGGGAGATTGATGAAGATGTCACACATCGTATTGGGGCGGGATGGATGAAATGGAGACTCGCTTACGATGTTTTGTGTGATAAGAAGGTGCCACCAAAACTCAAGGGTAAGTTCTACAGAGTGGTGGTCAGACCAACGATGTTGTATGGGGCAGAGCATTGGCCAGACAAAATCGCTCATGTCCAGAAGGTGAAGGTAGCAGAGATGAGGATGTTGAGATGGATGTGCGGGCACACCAAGTTAGATAGGATCAGAAATGAGGTTATTCGCGACAAGGTGGGTGTGGCACCTATTGAGGATAAGATGCGGGAAGCGCAGCTTAGGTGCTTTGGTCATGTGAGGAACAGGAGCACAGACGCCCCGGTGAAGAGGTGTGAGAGGTTGACAATGGAGGGCCTACGGAGAGGTAGAGGTAGGCCAAAGAAGAGGTGGGGAAAGGTGATTAGGCAAGACATGACGCAACTTCAGCTTACCGAGGACATGACCCTTGATAGGAAGGTATGGAGGTCAAGAATTAGGGTAGTAGAGTAGGTAGTCTAGAGTGTTCATAACAGTAGTATTGGCACGCAATCTCGCTTTCTGTGGGTAGTAGGTTTTTATGACTAACCGTTGTTTTCTTTCATTATTGATTACCTTACTATCTTGTTGTTTTTATTCTGCTTTTATATGGCTTTTGGTACTGTCCCTTCTTGTCTATATTTTCATTAATGTGGTGCTTATACTTTCTTGAGCCGAGGGACTATTGGAAACAGCCTCTCTATCCTCCCAATGTAAGGGTAAGGTCTGCGTACACACTACCCTTCCCAGACCCCACGATGTGGGATAATACTGGGTATGTTGTTGTTGTTGTAATGTTTTAATAATGTTTGCAGTCAATGACTGACCAACAGTTATGCTCAAAAAGAAGTAATGAAAAAGAATAAAGAAATGGATAGTTTTTTTTACAAGGTAGCTGAAATGTCATTAAAGGCATCAAGAAGATGCAAAGAAGAATAAAGAAATGGATAGTAGTAGTTTTGGTTAAATTAAAAGATCAAAATATTGGATTAGCATTATATATAACGGGAACAATGTCAGTTACCACACATTTCTTATGTCAACTTGCTTCACTAATATTGACAATCAAATAGTATCATGTTTGTACGTAATGGAATCTTAGAGTGCTTATTTGCAGTGTCATTATGTATTCATTACAGCACAAGCATTTTGATTATTGTACCTTACATCTTTGGTAACATACACAGATGGATGTGGAAACTCCGGTGAATCTAATTTGTGGAGATTGGATTCCCACAAGGTAGGGTACACAAAGGACAAATAGTTTGCTGACCTTCAACGTATTATAATATGCACAACTCATGTTGAATGCAACAGCATAATCAGTAAAGTATTAACATTGCCAAAAGTGTACCTGACACTCCAGTTGACTTGTTACTGACAGGGGCATGATTCGTGTCAGAAACTTGCACAGGAGTTGTTTTGTCTGGTTGTCCTGGTAGGACAATTGTATCAGACGGAACAAGAGAGGCTAGATCAGGAGGTTGATCCTTTCCTACTGGAGGATTAGCCTTAGAAGTGAGACAAAAAAGGTTATGTAAGAAACAGGAGCATAATCAATTTTCAGACAATTCATTGATCAAGCATATGAATTCAGCCAAGCAACTAGATATGAGATCACCTCCAGGTCAACATAGAACGGTTGCTTTCCTATGGAACTCAGGAATTTGTCGAGATCACGAGCATTAAGAGCTGCAAGAAGTATCTCAGCCACATAATCACAACCAGACACTCAAGAATATAAATGCAGAATTCTGTATTAAGCTTGAACTGGTAATCCCCAATATTGTAGTTCTGGAAAAACTCAAATCTATGTCTCTCATTAAATACCACTTGCACTTTTTTTTTTTTTTTTTGAGAATGGTTACCACATGCACTAATTTCCTAATCTCCGGTTGATTTTCATCAACACTTATGCAGCAACATGGAAAGGTATCATTCTCCAAGTAAATGTGAAAAGAAAATTGAAGGATACACTACCTTGCACAAAATGAACTAGGACGTGGAGAGTATTAAAGGGCAATATACATCAACTGTTGGTTAAAAAATTTAACAATAAAATGCACTTGGTGATCAAAGGTAAAAGCTACCCTTCGATATTTGAGATTAAAGTGCAATACTATAAAAGTTCTAAGATTTAATACCCACTTGTGACTTCTGAGCATAATTTATTAGCCAGACTAGACAAAATAACATATAGTGACAACTTAGAAAATCACCCCCACTAAAGTTCAAAAATTATGTGTGAAATAAGATAAACCGGAGAAAAGCTTGAGAAAATGCATCAAGACAAATGTCTTAGCCTGCGCTGTCTGTATTCAAACTTTTTAATGTATATTAGTACATGTGGACATCTATATACACTTCTACACAATCTAACATCCCTCTTAAGCTGGTGCATACAAAGTTATGTGCCGAGCTTGTTAAATACATAACTAACTTGGGGACCAACCAGAGACTTGGTGTGTGTGTGTGTAAATTGGCCATCTTTTACAATTTTTATGAAATTATCGCCTGAGATTATCTTTCCGCTTGGTCCTCTCATGAAAAACTGGATTTGATGCAATGTGAAGTACGACTTGACTATCACACACAAGTTTCATCTGATTAAACTCTTCAAACCTCATTTTTTGAATAGTTGTTATAAGTTCCCAAGTAGCAATCACCGCGGCACTTGCTGATTCCATTTCCTAGTTTCTATTTATTTTAATAATCGGTAATGGTGTTCTTAAGGTGAAGGTATTTTTGCAAGACGAAAACAATTTTGGGATTAAATAGTAACTAACGAAACTTAAGATGAGTGAAGAAGTACTTTTTTCAGATTTTTTTAAAGTGTAATGACACCTACTGCGCTGACATAGGTCCGTGTCATGCACTTTAAAGTTTAAAAGTGGATCAAGGTGAAATTTGGGGGGGGGGGGGGTAGGGGGGGAGTATGTATTAAGCCTTTACTAAATGTCAAAGATCTGCTCTACCATTAGGGAAAGAGGGAATAAATTATTGTTTAGCTAAGAAGTCATGGAAGAATATATGAGGACAATGAAAGTAAAATCTACACAAATCGGACTGTCTTACCAATTGTAGTATCATTAGAGAGTGGGTGGAAGAAGCAGCATTCCTGACTTTTAAATCCCTGATCTAACAACAAGGAAACATGCCTTGGAAAAGGAATAGCAGGTTATCACCTTAAGAATCATTGACACATAGGATCAATGAAAACATCAGAAATTTCACTATAGCTTAATAAAAGAGTGAAATGAGTACCTTGCTGAATCATTTACAAGTGCAAAAGGAGTGACACAACCTAGCGGCACCTTACATAGCAATGAAGAAGAAAATATTAGAGGAGTTGCCAGCAAATTAAAGTCATCAACAAAAGATGTAAGAAAGATGATTCGGATCTCTCTACAGCATACATTTTAGTCAAGCCAACATTCTATAAGTCACTCATTAAAAAAAAGAGATCTATAAATTTGATGTAGAAGAGCATCACCAGATTTAAAAATTTCCTCAACATATCTCAGCATCAAACTAGCTATCAAAAAGCAAGGAACTATCTCTTGTGAAGGAGGTTCTTATCATCAATGGTTTCAAGAACGACCACAAGAAAATTTCAAGTAGGAAATTACATTTATAAGAAATATGTGTTAAATATAAAGGTTAAGCCAGAGAAATTCAAGCTCTGTCGAAAGAGGAGTTGAGCTTATTACTAGCCAGCTGATCTTTTCATTGACCGGCCAACAAGTTATCATGAGATAGCTCATGGTCAACTTCTCTTTTGAAAGAGCAATACTATTTCCAACAGAAAAAATAGAAATCCCTAAAAGGATAATCAGCTCATTTCACTTTGCACACCTTCAAGCACTTGGCGAGGAGGATTTTTGGAAAATCACAGATCTAGCATGCCATGTTCAATTACACCACCTATGTCATAGGGACTTGGTATCACAATGAATAATAAAGGTGTCATGTTAGTCTAAGTCTAGATTATAATATGAAAGGTTTAAAGATAGAAAAGTTTTATCCTCCCTTCTTCAAAATTTATTTGTACTATTTTCTCTTTTTTTCTGTTCCAGTTCGACTCCTTTAAAATGACAAAATATTCCATCTTCAGAAAGTAACCTAATATAGACTAATAGTGCTTTGTTTCTGATGGCATGTTACAGTTGTACAAAAGGCTCTTTAGGGCTTAACAACTAACAGCAAAACACAGGGAGGGGGAAGAAACAGCAAAGTAGGGATACCATCATCTTAATCAACACAATATGGAAAAGAAAAGGAAAGGATAACACATTATAAATTGACAAACCTGAAGTACTTCCGCAAGTGCTTCTTCAGGAGCCATTCTTAACCCTCCTTTTCCCAAACCAAGCCTCTGAGACAAAACTGCTCAGTTTCAACAGAATGCATAGTATCCATTAAAATCAAAATACTTCACATTTACAAAAAAGGGAGACAAGGCATGTAGTACAACAGCAGTCTCTACTGGTATGTAAAATGTGATCATAGATATTTTCTTCCCATACACCACTCTATACACGATCAATTTTATGCCTTTATCCCAAAGTAATGGAAACTAAAGAATGAATACCTTTCAAATCTACATTGGTTTTCGCCATTGCAGAAACAACGTAGAACCTATGTTTCTTATCCTGCATCAGAAGTAAGGTGTGCCCATTATATTAAGTACATGAGCTTGAATGGATTTAAGTTGGACTTACTAACTTCTACTGAAGAAAGGTAAAACAAGCTAACATACAAATATTACCACAAGAAGTCTGTCATACCTTCAAGAATAAGTTTTTACTCAATGCACCCTTCAGATGCCCAACATGTTTTGCCTGATGAAAATGAGAACGTAAAAAACGTCATCATAAATGGAAGACCAATTATACAGGATTCGACAAGTTTACTTACCTGTGCTTCAACTGTCAAAACCACAGGGTGTTCTTGTTTGGTGAAATCAATTTGAAGTTCCTGAAAGAACCCAGAATATTGATTAATTACAGTAATATTCTTGCTAGCATGACATCTCATCCTCAAAGATGTTATGAATGATAGAAACATATTCAATTTCACTGATAAACAAGACAAGATAAGCTATTGATTTGCAGCAACTTTAACATTATTTTGAATGAGACCCTCTTGGTCTGGAATTAAGAGTTTTCCAATACATATATCAAAGCAACCGAGAGATCTGTGGATGTAGAAGGAACCTGTAAACGGGTAAGCAATTGCTCCTTTGTGCAACCCATTTTGTCTTTTGTAGAAATCTTCTGTGCAGGTCCACTCTCTGCAAATAACACAAGAATTATTGGATACATCAGTTTCCAATAACCTTAAGGACACCCGGGATTCCCTTTAAGTCAGAGATTCTTTGAACGCCTTTCGCTAACATTACAGCAGAATCAATGGCATCAGCTTCATTAGCTGCGGATGCATCGGAATTCATTCTTCATGTAGCCACACAGCGAGAAAATGCAACTTTGGGGATATTGAGATCGGCGGTATAAATGCTTCTTAGCCAGGTGCTGACAACTCATAGTGATAATACTTAATTTTTTATAGTCTTATTCTCTTTATCCTTTTCTCTGGTAAAATACAATGTTTTAGATTTTTCAAAATTAGATTTGTACACCTCTCAATTTTGTCGCAAACAAGAGTGTTTACTCTCACCAAAGATGAAAATATCTGTACAGTATAAGTTTCTAGGAAACAAACAGCAAAACTCAGAGGCAGAGTAGTACACAACTTCGGAGCTATTATTACATGGAAGCAAATAAAAAAACGCATATTCTCATAAAATACGAATACAAATCGGAGCTGAATTTTGGCAAAGCATTTCCTTCGATTCACATTTGGTAGTTTACCATAACAAAATAATTAGAACAAGGGTTAGAGTTATCGTCGGGAATGTAGAGATAGGGAGGGGGAGTGCGTGGCAAAAGAAGGTGGAACTTACAACTGGATTTCGCCGCAGAAAGAGATGGAAGGAGGCGGACCGCGGCTGAGAAGACTTCCTTTGTCTTTGGATTGCTGTTTCTTATTCATTTTGACCCAAATAGTTCCTGAAGTTCCAGTTTTGCTCTAACCTGGTCCTGTAAGTATAACACCGAGCAAAAAATATTCTCTAAGTTTATAGTTTTGGTGTACTTTTGGTCCTCAAATGACGGATAGACGGGGTTAGTATATCTTAATGGAATTTCTTGCAAAATATGACCCGTATAGGGTGTGTTTGGTACGACGAAAAATGTTTTCCGTGGAAAATATTTTTCAAGAAAATATTTTCTTGAAAAACAAGTAGTAATTTTATTCACTTTCCGGTGTTTGGTACGCAAATTAAGGAAAATGACTTTTCAAAAGTATTCATAAATAATTTAGATATAATAAACATGAAGCCATAAACTTTCAAACACCATCCGAACCCACATTTTTCATAAACTTCGAACCGTTAAACTTTCAAAACCGCGAAATTTCTAACCCGTAAACTTTATAATTTCTAAACCCGTAAACTTCCAAACACATAAACCTCCGAACTCAGAACTTTGGAACTTGTAAAATCTTGAACCTTTAAACCGCTAAATAAAAAAACTAAAACTAAAAAATATATTAAAAAATATTTTTTTTCGGGGGGAGGTGCAGGGACGGGGGGAAGCAGTTTTGGGGGATGCAGAAAACGAAAAGATAGAAATTTGAAATTGCAATAAAAAAATATTTTTTGCGGGAGGGAGTGGGGGTGGGGGTGTGTGGGGTGGAGGGGTAGTAGGGTGGGTGGTAACGGAAAAACTGAAATTTAGAAAAAAAAAAACCTTTTTTGGAGAGAGGGGGTGGGTGGGTTTGGTGAGGGTATGGAAGGTTGAGAAGGAGTTTTGGAAAATGTTTTCCCTTCTCTTGATAAGGAAAATATTTTCCTCCAATTGGAGGAAAATGAGTTCATAAGGAAAATGTTTTCCAAAACATTTAAGCCAACCAAACATGAGAAAATTAGAAAATATTTTCCGAAAAATATTTCCTTCATACCGAACACACCCATAGTCTTTTTAAGTTTAACAATTGGTTCAATTTTGATATTTGAACTTGACGATTCAATAAATTAGTGGCTCAAAGCAAAACTTTAGTTAGAGATCTTAAATATATTTTATAAAGTTAATTTATATTTTTATTTGAAGTAAGAGTTTGTGATAAAATTAAGGAAGGATAAAAAAGAGTACACAATTTAACCTATTCAATATCCTTGTTGTTTGGCATGATGGACATATGATTATGATGAAAGGGGTAAAAGAGAACTTGCTTTTTATAGCGTTCAAAGATTGAATAATTGAATGTTGCAAATTTTGCCTATTTGCATAACTCACATACTTGAATTTCTCCCAATTAATATGAAATTAAATTGCTTAGTCTGTTAATAATAATAATAAATTGTAAAAATTTGATTTTACTACATATAACATTACTAATAAGGCCTCAATTTTATTGCGGCCTAAAGTAACTACTTGATTTGCTTGGGATTGAGCTAACTATCACGCTAGAATATCTTAATTTGTATATGTAATACAAGTGAACCATGTGAAAATTTTATTCTTCAATTGAGGAAACCAAGGGGAATCTGATAAGTTAATAGAATTTGCAAGTAACCAACACAAAAGAGAAACCCCTTTACTTTTGTGTTGGTCATCTACAGATTATGTTAACTTGCCAAATTCCACCTAATTTAGTGGCTAAAAATGCATGAAAATGGTAGACTTCCAACATATCTTTTGCTCAATTTTTTATATTTAGAAGACAAAGTTAAACCAATCCTTAAACATAAAGGAGGATTTGGGTAAAAATTTCGCCTTTTACGTCCTAACTTAGAGTTCTACCCTTACAAATCCGATTTGAATTGGTCATTCTTTAAATCGAAAAAAAGAAAAAAAACAGCGTGGCGCCAAGCTCAATCTCCCTCGGCAACGCACCCTTCAATATCCACCCGCGTAAACGAGCGTGCTGAAACATCTTTCCTCCAAAACCAATCACGAAGCGCGTACACAAACCACAGTCTCCTTGCATAAAGAATGCATGTCTCACCTAAATTCAAACTACTCAGAATACTGTTCTTACCAAACGTGAAGATTCTGCAAATCCGGCTTACTTAAATATACACGATTATCCTGTAGTCCGAGAGGTTTTTTTTTTTGTATGTGATTACACAGAAATAAGGGGAGTGAAAAAGTGGGAAGGATGAAGTTGGCGGAGGTATTAAAAGTACTTCTGGTGGCGGCTATGGTGATGACGACGGCGAAAGCGATATGGCTAGAAATGCCGGCTACAGGGATTAAGTGTGTGTATGAGGAAATCCATAATAACGTCGTTGTTTTGGCTGATTACGCTGTCATCGGTGACGAGGAGCATGCCCAAGCTAATATTCTTCCCACTATTTCCGTTAAGGTAATCAAACGCATATCTGGTTTTGCAAACCTTGATTCAGTATCTACTGTATTTTTTATGAATTACAGATATTGGTTAACATGTTGAAGCTATTGAATTTACAGTCATAAGGAGTACTAAATCCAGTAATTTAGCAGAAGAAATTTTGCATTCTTCTATAAAGTATCGCAAATCATAGGAGTGGGTTCAGAGCATATAATTGAAACTAATTCAACAAAGGAAAAAAATCCTACTACTCTGGTTAGGACTTTTTAGGAAATGACATTTATGAGGGAAGAGTTAGTGAAGGATTTTCTTCCTTCAGTAAGGTAATAGATTGTATAAAAGCAGCTTCAGTCACAGTAATAACCCCCTCCCTTATCTGGTGTTTAGTCTTTTAGAGAGTAGTAATAAGTTTTCAGAATTTGATGTTAAACCAATTTCCGCCACACATAACTGAGACCACACTGTCATTAGATATCACTGGGGTTTCCCTCACGGATTATCCTGTTTGACCAAAAAGTATTAGGCCTTTTTGTTAAACTAATTAAATAAGAAGATAGAGGGTAAATCGTAGTTAAAGATAATTAATTCTAGATTTGAGATGGATAACTTGAATAAAAAAATATAGTTGAGTACAAATGTTGGCAGTAGTTATGGCCGAAAGACCATGCAGTAAATAACATTAAATGGCAATAAAATGTAAATAAAGGAGAAGATTCACCCAAAGTTAAGTGAGGCGGATCCTCTTTCATTTGATAAAGATGAATGATATACAAATACAAGAATCTTAGGACCCTTTTCGGATCTAATGGGGAGTGTGGGATAATAGATCATTTAATATGTTTAGAGAGATGTGTTTTTATTTTGTCGAGAGATAGAGGGTCTGCTTTTTTTAGAGAAGTCCCCCCTCTTTTCTTTCCTCATTCTTCCTATTTATAAAGATATCCCTATAAAACCCTAAAAAAGTATAATTACAGGGAATATTTAGTAGAATATTCCCTTTGAAGATTCCAAAGCAAAACTAGCCGTTACTTCTATCTGTATTGCTCGATCTCGGCCTTGTTGATGATCACTGCTCGACCTCGGCCTTATTGATCACTGCTCGACCTCGGCCAGACAGCTCAATTCGATTCGCAGGTTACTCATGACAATTGTCTCCGCATGTCGAATTTCTCTGATTTGATTTTGACCCATACATATACCATGTTTCATATCCCGATAGAATAATCCTATTAGGAGTAGTACTTTTCTCCTTATAGGACATGTGTACATAAAAAAAAATTAACTTAGCGAAGGGGGAAACTGGAGAGTTCAATTCAAGAATGCAAGGGTTGAAATTACGGGACTAGTTCTAGTCTTCCTTTATGCGAGAGAATAATTGATTATGATATCAATTCATGGTGCAAATATGGGGCAAACGTATCTGCAAAGATCAAGTTTTTAGACAACGTGTAGGTGTTGTAAACACAATTGGAGCATTTTAAATCAAATTGCATTGCATGAATTACTCTTAAGCTTGTTGATTTTATTGATCGTGAATTCAGATGAGAAAATAACTTCTGATTTTACACCTTTTCTATTCATGAGTTACATAAACATTATCTGAACATTATTTTCAGGTTACATCACCATTTGGAAACAATCTCCATCATGAAGAAAACGTCACGTATGGTCAATTTGCTTTTACAACCACCGAGGCTGGAAACTACATGGCGTGCTTTCGGATGAATAGCCATGCCCCAGGTAGTAAAGGTGTAACAATTGGTATTGACTGGAAAACTGGTATTGCTGCCAAGGATTGGGATTCAATTGCACGGAAAGAAAAGATCAAAGTAAGTTTATGATTATATCACTTTACTCCTGGTGCCAGTCTGGATTGGGATTCAGTTGCACGGAAGAGGAGAGCACTCTGTTCTTTCTTTTATTTTTAATTTTGTATTCTTTTACTCTTCCTTTCCCTTTCAGGACGTTGAACTTGTGCTGATGATATTGCAAGATAGGGTGCAAGCCATACATGAAAAGTTAGTCAATCTGAAAAAGAGGTAATTTCCAGGTTTGAATTTGCTGAAGTTTGCTTCTTTTTAACCCCAGATTATATGCTTTTGCTATTCCTTTTAATGCCACCATCTTCTCTTGCTTCATGTTTCATTTTGAGTGGCCAAAAGTGTAGAAGAGTTTGAACATCTAAACAAAAAAATTTAAGGCTATGGGTAAAGTAGCCCCAAAAATCATAAATTCCTTTGGAATTCTTTACAGAACTAATGTTGTGCAGGTTTATCTTTTTAGCACACTCCTCACATGCATAGTTCTAAGTTTTCAATGTGGAAGAGACATCCTTTTCTGGTTTTTTCTTTGAAAAGACTGCAGTAACTGAAAAATGGGCCTGGAGTATTCCAGGAGCAGAGTTAATGGCTTGGTGGCTGAATTGAGAGAGAGAAGTCCAGAAAGGATCAATGAGATGAGTTGAAAGATAGAAAACTCCGAGTGATAGAATAGGTAGTGAGAAAAAGATTGTAAAAACAGGTTCACTAAAATTTGGTACTGATACCATGTGAAAATATTGGAGCATCCAACCTAAACTTTAAGGTTATGGAGGCAGTAGCCCAAGGTATCATAAACCCCTTTGATTAGTTTACACAACCAATGTGAGATAGGTTTATTCTTTAACATAAAGAGGTTATGTATATTGTCAAACAATATCTTCTGTATAAGATATTACTTTCTTCATTCTTCTTGTTGTGTTTTTACAGTTTTTACCTAAATCTTGTTTCATGTAAAGGAAAAAAGTTCCATAAATCCAGGAAGGATTCTACACATAATTGGAAACAAAGATGGTGAAATTTTAAGGAACAAGTAGAGGGTCCATAGTAACTTATCATGGTATAGCAATGGCTTATGGATTTGGAGTACTTGGCAGAAAATGCCATGTTTTGATTGGTATAATAGTGGCTTATGAATTTGGAATACTTGACAGAGAATGTCATGCTGTTTACTGCCACTTCACATAACCATGAACATTTAAAACTTGATTTAATTCAAACACGCATATTATCCAACAATGTTTAGTTTTTATAAAATTATGGATACTACATTATAACTAATGTATTTCTCATCGTTTAACCATGCAGGGAAGAAGAAATGAGAGAAGTGAGTGAGAAAACTAATGCCGAAGTGGCATGGTTCAGTATATTGTCCCTTAGCGTCTGCATATTGGCTGCAGCTATGCAAGTATGGTATTTGAAGCGCTTCTTTAGGAAGAAAAAACTCATATAATTTTATGAGTATGATAGCTTTTCCTCTTGTGGGGAACCATAGCTCACAGAAAATTAGCAACGACGAAATTCTTTCCCTTTGTACCATGAGAGCATCTTCCATTCTTTTCTCTAGGCTTATATTGTTGTGTAGTTCTGAGATTTGACTGGAGTTGGAATCTAAGTTAGCAATAGTGACAGATATCATCTCTTATGGCAATGTAAGTTGTAACTAGGTAAGTTGAGGAAACAGTTTTGCACTTAAATGTGCTTGTCTTCTGTTAATGGAATGTGTCCGAAACTACATATCCACATCCCAGTTGCTCGCAGCAGCAAAATTAGAATTGGCTAAGACATTTGAGAACTGGCTTTCCACGGTGATCCTCTTCAATAGGGTCAGCCTGGAGGACATAGATTCAGTATAATTCTTGAGCTATCAAGGGCTACTCGAATGTCTTCCAAGTTCTCTGTATATGTCAATGTGCAGAGAAATTGTTACTTTGTGCATTGTCTGAACTGGCATAACACAAGAAATACGACCAACTCGGTCGAGTATCTTCTGCCGATGTGTTGAGACTCAATCTTGATCACTTGGTCCTTATCTAATGATTGTTGTAAATGTGGTGCGGTCTAGTAAATACAGAAGTGATTTCCTATAGATATATTTCTTGAAAAATGATTTTGGCTGAAACGAATTTCTCCCTTATTCATATAACTAGTCTTAGGGTACCCCATGTCATGAATATATAAACTTTTAAGTGGAAGTTTTTGAAAAAGGTAAATGTTGATTCCATTTAGTTATCTCAATAAAGGAAGAAATCTTTTTCCACATAAATCCTCAAATGCCTTATTATGATTTCTAAAGACTTCTGGGAATATCTTATGAAATTTATTGTTATTTTTGTGACTAATACTGAACGATATGTGCTTTGACGTATTTCCCAAGTCAATGAGTAAATAATTTTAAAAAATAAGTCAAAATGTGGACTGCACTTTTAATGACAGAGGCATATTTTACAGGAAAACAGTTATAAAATATTGATGTATATATAATAGTTTATATATCTAAATAGTTATACATGAGATTTTCCTTTGAAAAAGGATTCATGCAATGAAGTAAATATAATTAATTACCTCTGGCAAGATTAATATCCCTCTATGCGGCAATAGTTGATCAACCCAATCATTAAAGAATTAAATGAGGCAACAAAAATACTTATATAGAAGTAATTGGTCAAAATATTTAAGTCTTTGTGGGATTGGTACGTGTACGTCTTTGGAACTTTAAGAATAAATAGAATATTTGAGTATTTGACGCTTTTTTATTTTTCAAATATACTGTTAAGCCTTTAGTGTTCACTAAATTTTAACTTGGACACTCCAATTGCTTAGTATTTGTTCTAAATCAAAACCTAAATAAATTATCGAACAAATCACAAAAATAAATATGCACCAACTAATAAACAAACCAAACCTAAACAAATTACAAACAAAATTAATTGTGATAAATTTTTTACGCTAAATAAAAAATATTTTTGAAGGAAAAAATTCGGTCCACATTCCGTTCTGGAGTTTCTCATTTTTACAATAGTATAGATAATATAGATAGATCATGTAAATAAAAAATTGTTATGCGAAATCAAAAGTGAATCATATCACTCAATAGCAATCAAACAACAAGTATAGCAATTCGGAAGATGAATTTGTAGGCGACTATTGAAAAGTTAAAATCATTAGTGGAAGAAACTCATACAAACCTGCTCCTTTATTGCCCCTACTCACAGCACATATGGATATGGAAGGCCCTATTACACTGGTTGGATTTTAACAGATAAATTGAAAAATGAAATGTTGAGATCACATGGTTATCAGCTCAGGTGAGAAACAGCAGACCAAGAAGAGCTATATTATTATGTACCACATCCGATTAGAAAGGAATAGCAAATTCAGTCAGAAAGCACAAAATTACAAGATGAAATAGTCTTGCAGTTGCATATTGTAGGACCAAAAAAGTATAAATGGTCTAAAAATCTTGATAGACTCAAGAGTTATCCAATTGTGTAGGAGTAGTTTCTAACAAAATATGTTCTTCATTTTGTTAGAGTTTTTTATGGGTCTGTTTGATGATCTAGCTCAGGAGTTGTACATATGGTTAAATATAATTTTTCGTTTGACGAAAAACCAATACTAGGCGAAAGTTTAATAATGAAGAACATGGAATAATGACTTCTTTTATCTATACTATATTAAAGTCTTTTCTTATAACCAATACTAATATAATTATTAGTTAAAGTCTTTTCTTATTGGTATTATATACCTCAACTATAGGAAAAAAAGAAAAGAAGAAGCCGGCATTATTTATAGTTTTATTTTTTATGCTCTAATTCAGTAACAAACTTTATTTGTTGTTGCTTACTATTTTAAAATAAAATAACTAAACTATGAACATAACACAGAAACTCCTAAAATTTAGAGCAACAATTCTCAATGACGGTAGATTGAAATTAATATCTCAGATTTCGTTTAAAGAATTTTTGTGGGTCCTTCTTTCATAATAATTGTTAAGTTATAAGTTTAAATGAAAATAATTTATATAAGGTCAAATTTGAATTTATTTAAGGGAAATAATTTAATTACTATTCCTAAATAGTAGGATATTAATTAAAAGAATATTCCTAAATAGTAGTAAATTGTTATAAATAGAATTTCATTTATGGTGAATGTCTATATTTTGAGAGATTCTAGGGTTCATTGCTTGGTGGCTAAGTCACCCTCTCCCTATAAATAGAGGGTTCTATTCTATTGTAATTCATCCCAAATCAATAAGAATTCCCTCTCTCTACTTTTCTCTGCATATTCTTCTTCTTCTTTTATTGTTCATAACACATTATCAGCACGAGACTCTAACCAATTGAGTAGAAGATTTGGGATTGAGCATAATGATTGTCAATTATTCCATGAACTTCCTTCATGATTAAATTCTGAATTTAAGGTAAGTATTTTACTGTATTTTTCTCTTTTATTCTATACTTTGATTTTAAATAAAAGCAAAGACAACAAAGTTTGATTATAACCCTAATGGAGTTTGTAAGAAATTATAACCACCTGAAGTGGTAAAAATTTCTATGTCTTGCCATGATCAAATTCATGTATGATTATGGGCACAAAAAGTGGAAACCCGTCCCATTGAATTTGCTCCATTCTCATTCCTCTAAGAGAATGTGATAGCAGTATGTGATAAGTCTGAAAGAAGACAAAATTATGACTATGAATGTATCAATGGATGTGGACGTGGCAATAGACGAAATTATAATCGTCATCATTGTGATAATGAGAATAATAAGGATTCTCAAAATAATCCCCCACTTTGTGAAAATATTTGTCATCGATTTGACATGAGATTTTATAAAGCACATATAGATGATTATGGTCAATTCATGATGTGAATGTGACAACATGTGATTTATGAATACATATTCATTCTTCAAAGAATATGAACGTGCTAGTGGTAGTGAATATACCGCACTCACCTCTAAAATGAGGTTTGAGATGATATAAGAAATAATGTCATTATTATGGCATGAATGGTCATTGGTCACGTACCTATTGTACGCCAAAATATTTTGGCATTGTGATTATTAAAAGACAACGGTAATGCAAGAAACAGATCTTGCATATAATTTTGACCATAACCATAATGGTATAACTTTCTCTTTAAAAGAGATATTCACCATATGGGTGTTGATGAATATGTGGTACTACAAAATTAATTGAGAACTCTGCAACAGCCAATTATACTATTTTGGAGAAACACAATTAATTACCCATAAGGTATTGTGTTGTAGTAAGTCTCAAAGAAACTTATTCAGTTTCCAAAGTATTCGCGAAAGCGGTTGGTCATACTGAGACTATAAATAAAGGAAAGATTTAATATCTTCTATTACTACAACTTGTAGCGGGGTAATATGTATGTGAAAAGCTACCCGCTTTATTCTCCAATTTGTACTGCATAAACAAAAGAATACCACAATGAAGTGGATATTTATTGATATAAAAACCCATATCTATAACAAACATCATAATAAACTTGGAGTTTATTCATAATTGCACATCATGGGTAAACCTGAAGTTTATCAATGTTGATAATTTATCCAGTTGGCATAATTGGTTTAGCCATGTTAATTCAAGTATGATGTGCAAAAATAAAAGAGAATTCACATGGGTAAATATTAAAGAACTAGAAAGTTCTTTATGGATTCTCTTACATTGCTTGTTCTCATTAATTAATAGACCAATTAAAATTGGGATTGAATCCCATGAATGCTGGAAATATCAAAGGTGAATATGGGCTCATTCACCTGCCATGTATACCACATAAGATGCATTTATGAGATGGTTACATGTGCGATTATTATTAACCTGCAACATGGTGTTTGCGAGGTAACTTGCTCAATAATTTAATTTAGAGCATATTCCAGATTTTCTATTCAAGAAGTTCATCTTGATAAGTTGGTCTACATCACAGCTGGTTTAGCAAAATGATTTATTGAGTGTCTCCACTTAATAGCTAAACAATTGCTTATGAGAACAAAGTTTTATATACTAGTTTGATATACGTTATATACGAAAGTATATTAATTTCTCCCCTCATAGGTGGTTCATGATCAGGAACCAAATAATTCCACCTTATTATTATTGATGTGCGGTGTATATTTTGATTAACACCATAACGCACAAAGATGAGTTCTCAAAGTTGAGAAACAAGTTAGTTTTTCTAACATGAGGGGGAGACATGATAAACAGTTGAGAAAATGTTACGTGGAATGAATTATCATTTATACATCTAGATCCTCGAACTAAGATAATATGAACTTGAAGTTCATAAAAAGATAATTCATGTGCAATATATTGCAAAGCATGCCAGACGCATTTGCTGACCCAAAGAAAGTAACTATATTCTCATTGCAAATGCTCTTATTAAGTCCTAGAAGGACAAAGTCTATGGTACGCTTAAAGCGTATAGACAAATCGGTTTCAAATAAACTTCTTGATAAAGAAGATGAGCAAATGATCAAAATGATCATAATAAAGGAGGCAAGTGATCTAGAAGATCACATGACATAACACTTCATAAAATCTCATGAGAGATTCAGGTACCTGAAATATGACTGAAGAGATCTCTATGTTATGTCTTTATAAAAATAAGGAGGTTGGAACCGATATAAAATATTCGTCGACGACATCTATGATACCGCTAAATATATATGAGGATCTTAAGTCTGGTGAAACAATTCGAATAGAATTGG